GCCCGCGCCCCCTCCCTCGGAGAAGGCGCTTCATCATCCTGGATCACTCTGTCAAACAATATGCTGTGGCTCATTTTTATCTGTCCCGTTTTACAAAGCCCCCTTTCACACACGCGGGAAAGCCGGCCAGGGCAACACTCAAGAAGCAGGGAACCGCGGAAACACAAACAAACAAACATCTGAAACCCAACCAAACGCGCAACGACCAGGGAGGAAAGATGGAGATGGGCAAATATATATATATATCTGTTTTGAAAAGGGTTGTGTCTGTGTGTCGGCGTCGTCCCCCCCCCATCTACCAGAGATGGGTGCAGCCTTGAACTTGTCCCCTGATGTTAACCCTCAAACTGACTGGAAGTCAGTCCCGGGTTCAAATTCAGCCTTCTCCTCCAGCCGCCAAGTTTCCTGCATGGCTTTGGAAAAGTTATTTTCTCTCTCTTTCTCGTAGTCCGGGTTATCTGACCCTCCCAGACTTAGTTATAGCAGAAACGAGATGGCTAAGCGTTTGTGGCACCGCCAGAGATGCTAACCAAAGAACCAGGATAGTGCCCCTTGCAGTGTTCTCAACAGCGAAGCTTAGAGAAGCTTCTTTCCATTCCTGGTCCTATTTTGTGGCTAGCGGAGCATATTCCCGTGTATTTGTTTGTTGCGTTTGTATTCCGCCTTTCCTCCGAGGAGCTCAAGGCGACTTACAGGGTTTCCCCGCCTCCGCATTTTGTCCTTGCCACAACACCGTGAGGTAGGTCAGGCTGAGGTCACTCCGTGTGCTTCATGGCTGAGCCGGGATCCTGATCCAACCACAAACAGGTCCTCCCAGCGTAATCTTATGTATGTAAATTCATTTTGTTTCAGTGGGGTTTACTTCCCAGGTACAGGATCGCTGTTTTAGGGACCAAGGCTACAATCCTAACCCTACTTACCTGGGAGTAGCCGCCACTGAATTCAACAGGTCTTGCTTCTGCGTAGACACCCTTCAGACTGTTATTCTCTTATATGCTTAGGAATGCAGCACAGCAGCGCAAACCCGGACACCTTTACTCGTAAGTAAGTTTACCTCATGGCAAGTGTGCCTGGCACACTAATGTCAGAGGCTGACATTACAATCCCGTTCATGACTGCACAGAAATAATAAAGCCCATTCTTCAATGGAGTTTAACCCCTAATAAGCGCGCATCACTGGTCTAGAAGTCCCGGATTCCAATTACGCCTTTGCCATGAGCTCAGGCGAGGGCTTGAGCGAGGTGGGAAAACCTCTCAGTCTCCACCGTCTGCGATACGAAGATGATAATAATACCGGCCTACTTTGCAGGGTTGTTGCTGCTGTAAGACTAAATAACAAGATAATGTACGCACAGTGCTTCCAACACTAAAGTCTCTCTACAAATGATTATTATGATAATTCGTTAATTATAGTTACTCTAGATTTGTAAACGGATTAGAGAGGATGTGTGTTAGGGATGTGGGTTTCTGTGTGTGATCTGATCTTCCACCATCGCTCTTCCAGTTCAGGCGTCCCCTAAGGCGGGACTTAAAGCTCACCACGGCTTCAGGGCGAGGTTTTAAACCCCTGTCCGGCCCTCTCAATTCAGGCTGAAGATCGGAAGACCAGTACGTATGTGTCAAGAAGGGCTCAAGGCTCGCTTGATCCTTGATACGCTATTTTTTCTATGTGGAGGGCTGTTCCTCTGCCCCTTTCTTTTAATAGGCGGTGGTCGTTCAGTCTTTGCGACCTCCCCCCCGCTTCCAGTTTAACGTACTAGAGCAGGTTGGGGCGAACGTGGCCAGAAGAGCGAGGTTCAAGTTTCTAGTCCCTAACCGTTGACTGCTCCATATCTCTAAAACCCTCCCCGCGTTTGTGCCATTTAATGAAACGGCTCGTCCCTTGAGGAGGGAGCATCATTGAGGAGGGGGTCAGGCTTTTATTTATTTTGACCTTGTTGGTCTATTTATCCCGCCCCCCCCCCCGCAATATCTCGGACAGTCCCATTCCTCCGCTCAGCTAAGCACTCTGAATAAGGTCAGGTCGATGCCAAATCCTCGTCTCGATATTCTGCGCTTAGATTCCATCCTGCAGCCCTTGACTTGGAATCAGACACCTTGAACTTCAATGGGACTAACCTCTTGGGCAGACACGCACGCGATCGTGATGTTAATGCTTCTCGCTGAACCTCCTACCCCGATCCTAAACATAACACTTGCTCGGAAAGTCGATGCCCATTTGATTTCTATGACACCCAAGGGAGCTGGGTATCCAAAACGAGCGCTCTCAAACCCTCCTTCCGAGCTGCTCCATTTCAAGCTGGGTTTTTCTGAAAGCCCCCAAGCGAGCAGGTGGGCGAGGCGGCGAGCGACCCTCTATTTCCTCCCCGGGAGCCTGTCCAACCGAGTTCACGGCTGTGCGCATTGATCCGCACCCCTCCTCCTTTTATTTTGGAGCTAAACTTTGGAGAACCTGTTTTCTCCCCGGTTAAGAGGAGGTTAAGGATTAGGGGCAGCTGCTGGGTTATTTTTAGAGTGACCCCATTCCCCTTGTTTAAATTTAGGCTGATTGATTAATTCTTTAGACCAACACCGAGAGCCCTAAATTCACTCCCGGGGAAAGGCGGCCCATAGCTTTTCCACGGCAATCGCTTCCAAACGAAGTAGGATGGCAAATTTTTACGCAAGGCAATAGTAGCAATACGTCGAAGGAGACTAATCGTAGCGGGAAGCTCTTGCCCCGAAATCTTCTCTCTTGTAAGCCGCCACCACCGCGACCCAGCTTTACGGTGTTAAGAGAGTGGTGAAAAGCTGGGATTTAATTCCTCCCCTTTCCATGGGTGTTTATGGGAGAACTGGAGGTTTTAAATCAGGATTAGTAATTGTGACTATAGAACCGAAGGCACCCTTAAATGTTATGTTATAAAAGCGAGACCTTATCCACGTGGCATCACCGCGATTAAAAAAAGAGACTTCAGGGGGTGGGTTATTTCCCAGTTTTGCACGCCTTGTAAAGGGTCGGTTCTGCAATCCTGTTGAAATGACATTCGTGGGAAGCAGGGTCTGATTCCTTTTTTAAAACATTTCCTTTTGCAAGGCGAGGATTGTAAAACGTCACTGCCTGGTCACTATGGGTGCTGTTTATGAGGACGGATGCAGGTGGGTTTCCTCCCCTGCGCGTTGTAGACTCCACTTTTTTTTGGGGGGGGAGGGAAATCACGATTTAGCCTGGTAGATGCTGGGTTCAAGAAACTGCTTGGCTATCTCTGAAAGGAAAGGAAGAATTCAATAGGATGGCAAGCAGCGTTTTCTTTTCCGAAACGCTCACGGTTCCTCCAATTTGCTTGCAAGAATTGCAACGCTAACTTAGGCAGAAGATGCGCGGCGGACCCCCTTTAAAACAATGGGAGGGGGTGAGCTTGGAGGGTGGTTTTTTTGTACATAACTAAACAAATAAAATAAAAAAAATCTTTCGAGCATAAAAATCTGGGAAGTGCCAGATAGGTTGTTTCTGCGATCCTGTACACAGAAATCGTTCTGGGTGGCAGGATCTGAGTCCTGCAAACAAAACAAAAAACAGAAAGCAACTTTCAGTTTGGGAAACGAGGGGGGCAAAACTTCACTTTCCCCGCCCCTTCCTTCCTATTTCTCCCGGGAAATCGTATCAGGTTATATTGCTGAAAGAGGGAAATCCGTGGCTGTGCATCTCACGCGTGGCTGTTTTTCTCTGTCCTACTACCAGGAGGCAGCACCGGAGGCAAGCGTCCTCGCCGCAGCAGGAAACACGCTCCGCCCGGCAGCCCCGCCGCCACTCCAGGAGGTTCGGTTCGGTTGACAGGAGAACTGCGCTTCCTTGCAGGACAGGAAGAGGAGAGCCTCGCGCGCAAAACGATTTCGTTGGAAGGCCCGGGCATTGTGGGAATGCCAAACACACCTGCTGTTACTATTGATGATAGATAGATAAACATTGCAGGATTCATCGCGTTTTTTTCTTCTAGCGTCGCAAAGTTGTCAGCATTTTCTTTCAAGTGTATTAGATTTTTTAAAAGAAAGAAAGAAAGAGAGAAGTTTTCTTTCTTTCTTTCTTTCTTCCAGTTGGCGCAGTTGGTAATTTTAGACCCTGGATTGAATGCGGTACTTTTAAAGCCCCGTCCTCTGTTTAGATGCCCTTCGAAAGGTGGGGGGTCCTCCTTGCTCATTCTGCCCCAGATTTCTGCTCCAAAGTCCTGCCATGATGGCGCCACTGTGTGTGTGTGTGTGTGTGTGTGTGTGTGAAGACCCATGTCCCCGTGTGACTTTATTTTAACTCTATCCAGCATTAATGCCTCCTCGTTTGGGATTCTGCTCAGGATCATTTATTAGTCACTCCGCCTTAGCTGTCCAGCTTGCACTCAGGAGCCTAAAATGTGCTAAAACCACAGGCCAGTCCATCCATCCCTTCCCACGGTTTTGGAGCTCGGTCCTTCGTGGGTGAGTTGGGATTCTAAAACGCGCTTCTGGTTATGCGTAAAAAGAAGTGGGCGTGGCCGTTATCCCAGACTAATTAGCCTGGGCTATTAGGATATGCTTGGGCGGGTCTGGCCCCGCCCCGTTATTTTTCTCCTGTCTCTTCACCCTCTGACCACAAAGCTTAACGTTGAAGCCAGCACCTAGGATCCCACGAAGGTTTGCTCAGTGTAAGACCCAATGGGACTTGTTCCTAGGCGCCCCACCCTGATCTTGCTGCTCCTGATCCTAAAACTAATCAGATTCGCACTATTTCCCCTGAAATAAAAAGCAAGGAGGACCAAAAGAATCAAAGGCTCCCGGAGTCCATCACTCAATCCTGCTTTTTAAGGAGTGCAGCCGGGGACAACTACGGATAGACCTTGGGGACAGCCGTTCGGAGCTCACCTGGCCCTAAACGACATTTTAATGGCATATAATCCTAATTGTTTAACTTCAGGTTGGCTTTTTGGGGGTGGGGAGGAAGGGAAATCGTTTTGATTTCTGCACTGCAGGGGGTTGGACTATATGAGCTTCTGGGTCCCTTCCATAGCTGTCAACTTTTCCCTTTTTTCAAAGGGAAATTCCCTTATTCCGAATAGGATTCCTCGCAAGAAAAGGGAAAAGTTGACAGCTATGGTCCCTTAAAAAGGTAAAGGTACCCCTGCCCGTACGGGCCAGTCGTGTCCGACTCTAGGGTTGTGCACCCATCTCACTTAAGAGGCCGGGGGCCAGTGCTGTCCGGAGACACTTCCGGGTCACGTGGCCAGCGTGACGAAGCTGCTCTGGCGAGCCAGCACCAGCGCAGCACACAGAAGCGCCGTTTACCTTCCCCCTATATAAAGCGGTACCTATTTATCTACTTGCACTTAGGGGTGCTTTCAAACTGCTAGGTGGGCAGGAGCTGGGATCCCTGCCGCGGGGATTCGAACCGCCGACCATGCGATCGGCAAGCCCTAGGCGCTGAGGTTTTACCCACAGCGCCAATTACACAGTATGTCTATGACTTAGCCATCCTCTCCTAAGCAGCGAGGGCTGTGCTGGGCTTATGGAAGTTGGCGAGTGCAAACCTGCAGAGGTCCCTACCGGGTTAAATAAGTGCCGGGGCTGGGAGTGGTGACTTGGAAGGCAAAGCAAAGTGGCCAGACAGCCGGGAAGCGGTGAAGCACCTGCAGCGGGGAAGCAGCAGGTTTGTCTCGGGAGAGACCCTTCCTCAAACGGTCCCAAGCAGCTCTTTGGAGACCCACTGCCGCAGGACTGTCCGCCGGGTCCCTTTCCAGCAGGGTGGGGGAGAACAAAAAGTTTGAAAGGGGAAACGAAGTAGTCCTTGATGTAGGCCAGTTTTCCCAAACCTGGGTCTCCAGCTGTTTTTGGACTACAACTCCCATAATCCCTAGCTAGCAGGACCAGAGGTCAGAGATGATGGGAGTTGTAGTCCCAAAACAGCTGGAGACCCAAGCTAGCCTTAATGTAGGGTCTCCAGCTGTTTTGGGACTACAACTCCCATCATCCCTAGCTAGCAGGACCAGAGGTCAGGGATGATGGGAATTGTAGTCCAAAAAAACCCCCAAGTTTGGGAAACACTTGTGTAAGCAAAGTGTGATCTTTACATATGAAACACAAAAGGGACCAGGTTGGAGCACAAGGTCTGAGTTTTGGTGGACCTGCTTCCTTCCAGCCCATCCTGGCCGTTCCTGGCTCTTGGCTTCCCCTCTTCCCCCAGCCTCCTCCCCTTGTTCACAGTTGCATTTCCACTCTGTCTTGCCAGCTGTTTTCAAAGGCGGCAGCAGGGATCAAAGCAGGGCTCTGTGCTCCTGCCGCCTTGCTTCAGCTGGCTCTCTGTGTATGACTTATCGCAAATCAGCAGCACAATTCATATTTGAATACCCAGCACCAGTTTTGCAGGGGCACAGAGTAATTCATGAAAAAATAATCAAGCCAGATTGAAGGGAGGCGATGACTTGTACGGGTAGCCGCTACAGGAACAACTAAATCATTGATTGCAATTTATTTGCTCTCCTCCAACCTAAAAACTAGTAGATGGTCACAGATTCTTAAAAATAAAAATGAAGAGGGCAGGAGCTGCTCCACAACACTGTGAGAAGCTTATGCCCCAAAGTTCTGAACAGGCAACTGAAATATTAGGAATAAGGCTGGTTCATCTAACTCAGTACACACCAAGGTTTGAGGCCTGTAACCCTACATTTTTTATAGTCCTAAATTCTTTTGATTAGGGCCTGACACTTAGGCTAGTCTTGTTGGAGTCAGTGTTGCTGTGCATTTTTGAGAGCTGCCCCTCACCTCCCATGGCAGTCACCTGGTCTGCAGAATCAGGAAATGAGGTGGAAAAACTGTTCCTAGATGCTACCACTTTAAAACTGCTGCAAGGGGGGGGGGGGGGATGGCCATAGAGAGCAAACTAGCATGTCAGAAAGGAGGCTTGGATAGAATCCTTCTCCTATATTGTTTTTCATGGGTATGAAGGTTTGTTCATTTTAAAATGCAGGGGGAGCATTCAATCATGCAACCAGTTCCTTTACTGCAGTATACTGTAAAGTGATACTATCCAGGAGCAGTCTGGTTTTTCTTGAAGCTGGCATATTGTCAGTCTAGACACAGATGTGGTCATGATGGACTAGTTATAGGTGAAGATAATCAGAACTATAAGCAACAGTTCTCCTTATCCTGGTTTATGGAAGTTGCCAGCAATGTGCAACATTTCATGCCATTCAGAAGACACTCTGTGTGTGCGTTTGGGCATTTATGAAAAAAATAAAATAAGGGCTCTCATCAAATTAATAGCAAGCATGGATTTTCTGTATCTTTGGCGAGGAGGATAGAAATTATTGGAGAAAAGTAATACATCAAGAATGGTCAGTTTAATTGCTGCAGTGACTCTGCCCAAATTAGAGACATGACAATGACTGAAAATCTTTAAAAACACACAAATGAAAAACACCACTTTGGACAATCACTGGAAATATCTTAAAGTCCCACCAACTTTTGAACTATTAAGGGAGGTTTTTGATTTGACAAACATGAACGGCCTGCCCACTGTCTTGATAAAACAAAGAATAGGGTTTCCATATACACAAGTGGGATCCATGCATATATTTCCCTCCATATATGCAACAGAAGTATTCCAAGGTGGCAGATGTGATGTGACCATGGGAAAGATACTTAACTCTTTCCTTGCTGTCATTTTCTCTGTTTTAACCCCCCCCTACCCCCCTTGGCTACAGCCATGCCTCCCTCCCTCTTTGTGAAGTTCCAAAGTGTTTTACTGTGCAATCCTAAAGCCCTGCTGGGGGTTCTGTGGGACTCACTTTAAGGTATTGAATGTGTGCCTAGGATTGTAGCCCTAGAGAGTGCTGTAGACCCTTCCTCTGTAGAAACTAAATTACATTGTGGGTGCTCAGAGATCCTCATGATATTTCAAGATTGGCTTTAGCTGGCTTTCATCTCCCCTCCCCTCCTCACTGGCCCTTTTCCTATAGCCACCCCCCACCCCTGTCAGAAGCAGGAGGCCAGAGTTCCAATGCAGGCAGCTTTGCCCTTTCACATGTTCCCTTGTTCCCATGGGAGTCAAAGGAAGCTTTGTGTGTGTTTTTCCAAATACATTTTTTGAGCCTGTAGCAGTGCCACATGGACAACATCCTTGGTTGTTGGTTTTTTTATTGCTCAGAACAGAACATGTGTTGAAATGCTAAGTCCATAAATAGAAGGATTCTGAACATACACACAAACACAAAAGGGACACAATACGGTCAATATTAATTCATGCTGAGTAAAAAGATTTCCATGCACACAACATCAGCTCCAGGGCTGTGTCTCTCAAACTCTCACAACAAAGCTTCATTCAGAAATGCAGTCTGATCCTCTGCATGTTTACTCAGAGGTGTCCCATTGTGGTAACTGGGATGTATTTCCAGATAAGTGTGCTTAGGACTCCTACAGTCCTAAGTTATTTTACTCAGGGGCCAATCGAGAGAAAGTCAGTTACACTTTAAGTCCTATTGAAACCATCCCTTAAATCACAGCAATCCTGTGAGCTTGTTCAATGCTTTCCTCAAGGCTATTTTCAACCCATTTCTGTGCATGTTCACTGGGAAGCCAGTCACAACAAATTCAAGCACACTTGAGACGGATGGATGCCAGCAGTAAATTCCCCAGGAAATGTGCATACGATCACAGTCCTTATATTATTATTTTTAATAGGTTCCCACATCCAACCTATGCATATTCCTGGTCAGGAAGTATTTGTCCTCTTTTCAAATATGCTTAGGCTTTGATGGTAGGGACATGGGTGGTGGCGCTGTGGTCTAAACCACTGAGCCTCTTGGGCTTGCTGATCAGAAGGTCGGTGGTTCGAATCCCCGCGACGGGGTGAGCTCCCATTGTTCTGTCCCAGCTTCTGCCAACCTAGCAGTTTGAAAGTATGCTAGTACAAGTAGATAAATAGGTACTGCTGTGGCGGGAAGGTAAACAGCATTTCCGTGCGCTCTGGTTTCTGTCATGGTGTTTTCTTGCACCAGAAGTGGTTTAGTCATGCTGGCCACATGACCTGGAAAGCTGTCTGTGGACAAACGCCAGCTCCCTTGGCCTGAAAAGCGAGATTAGTGCTGCACCTCATAGTCGCCTTTGACTGGACTTAACTGTCCAGGGATCCTTTACCTTTACCTTTTTACCTAGGCTTTGATGGCCATCAGGAATGAAAAATGGGTTCCAAAGATGTAGAGGAACCACTAACAGTAGATTTTAGTAGTTGCAAAAGAGGGGAACAACTAGTGCTTGAGAGCTATTCCACATGTACCTGGAAGTTTGCACATAACTGTTTCGACAAATGATTCACAATACAGAGAGGTTTCTGAAGAAAGAGATATAGGGATTGAGTCTCCTCTACCATAGATGGCTATCCTAGACTGTTTCTGGATAGCAGGACTGAGGTGTTGAAGGGATACTGATTATTGGGTTCTGATAAGCAAAAGGGAATAATAGCCGTCTGTGAAAACTGCAACTTACAGAGTTAAGGCACATTGTATTGTGGGAAATACTACTCTAGGGAATAAAGGGAGCTAGAAAGGGAGATTTGTTTTTGTTTTATTATGTATTTTGTATTCTCATTTTGTATTTTTCTGTTGTGAATTGCCCTGGGTTCTTTGGATGAAGGGCAGTACTGTATACAGATGATGATGATGATTAGTGCGGAAGTGGGGGAAAGTATTTTAGCTGCAGGTATTGCCCAGCTACCTCTGAGTCTGAATTTATTTTGAAAATAAATATTTATTCCTGAAAATGAAAGACCCTCTCCATCCCTGCTCACATCGCCACCCATTTTAAAAGTTTGTTGAAAACAATTAAGGGATGGTGTTCCAAAGCAGACCAGCTGCTGCGTTATGTCACATCCCACAAGTGGGAGCAGTGCCAGAAGAAACCATATCTGCAGTCCTGGCTTGATGAGAAGAAGGGCTGTAGCTCAGTGATGGAGCATCTTCTTTGCACACAAGCAGTCCCAAGTCCCTGGCATCTCCAGACAGGAAAGGCCCCTGCCTGAAACTGCAGAGAGTTGTGCTCAGTCTATGTAGACAATACTGAACTAGATGGTCCAAGGACCTGACTCAGGGTAAGGCCTTTTCCTGTGTTCCTAAGCACTTCCTCTTTCCACATCTGACAATTCCCTCAGGCCCAAACGCCCTGAGTGAGTGTAAGGGCAGTTTGTTGTTTATTAGTTTATTGCTATCTCTATTTTAATTTATCTCGGTCTGTGGTTTGTTTACAGTTTGGGTGACACAGCTTTATACACCCCCAACCAGCTGCCCCCTCTTGGTTGGCACTGCCTTTTGCTGTATTGAACTGGAAATGGTAGTTTCATCTTGAATAAAGATGCTTAGATACTGTAAGAGAGGGACAGCGGCCATCCTAGAAACTAGGAAGGCACAGCACTAGAGCCCTTGCATTCTTTGCTTGGATCTGCCTGCAGCTGACCACAAAAAGTCTAGTGGGAATCAATCTGAGAGGCCCAAGAGCCTCTCACCCAGTCAGCTTAGTAGCTGTCTCTTAGCCTGGCCTACCTCAGAGTGTTGTTGTGAGACTGGAACACTGCTGGGCTCCCTCCCAGAAAGACATGATAAAACTGCAGCAAATCACAATACTCAGTTCTAGTACTCCACCTGTAAAATGGGAATAATAAAACTACAGTGGTACCTCGGGTTACATACGATTCAGATTACATACACTTCAGGTTACAGACTCCGCTAACCCAGAAATAGTGCTTCAGGTTAAGAACTTTGCTTCAGGATGAGAACAGAAATTGTGCTCCGGCGGCGCGGCAGCAGCAGGAGGTCCCATTAGCTAAAGTGGTGCTTCAGGTTAAGAACAGTTTCAGGTTAAAAATGGACCTCCAGAATGAATTAAGTACTTAACCAGAGGTACCACTGTATACAAATGATGGTTGTGGTTCCTCACCCCAATTTATGGTGTTAGATCTGTGTTGACTCTATCACATATGTACGCAA